ATATATATATATATATATATATATATATATATTACTTGATCAGTGACCTAGAAGTAGTGCAAAATATTAAATATTTATTATTGTAATTATTGTTAATTATTATACAATTGTATCAAATATAAATTATAATTGATACTTTTTTTTAAATGCCAGGTTTTGAATTTGGACCTTACATTTTATTTCATGGATTTATGTGCTTCCTCAGAAATATTATATTCTATAACTAAACAAGCAATGAAAAAAGTATTTTTTGTAACTTTTCAGAGAATTACAATATTACAAATATTTACAAACATTTTTAAAAAGGGTTATTGTTATTATTATTATATTTTAACAAATAATGAATAAAGTGTTTTTTAACTCTTCATGGAATTCTGTCTTGGAAATTACTAGACAGCAAAAAATAAATAAATTGGAAAGCAAAAAAAAATAAAAATAAAAATAAAAATAAAAAAAAAGCATGGTTTTAAAAAGGGTTATTGTTATTATTATTATATTTTAACAAATAATAAATAAAGTGTTTTTTAACTCTTCATGGAATTCTGTCTTGGAAATTCCTAGACAGCAAAAAATAAATAAATTGGAAAGCAAAAAAAAAAAAAATAATAATACACATTTCACCTTTAAAGGGGTCATCGGATGCCCATTTTCCACAAGTTGATATGATTCTTTAGGGTCTTAATGAAAAGTCTATAACATACTTTGGTTAAAATTTCTCAATGGTAGTGTAAAAACACCTTTTTTACCCTGTCACAATGAGCTCTGTTTTCAGCAGGCGGTTCCAGTCCATGTTGCTTTAAATGCTAATGAGCTCTGCTGACCCCGCCCCTCTCTTCCGTGGGGTGTGGAGCCGTTCTCTGAGGGACTGTTTACTTTAGCCACGGAACTCGCTAACTAGCATGTTATTAGGAAAGGTGATTTGCAAAGATTCATAAAAAGCCCTTATGCTCGCTTCTTGTGTAGATGAAGCTGGATCACGAATGATTCGCGCGAACATAGACGCATTTAGGCAGATTGGGGATCGGCGCATTCACTTCAAAACAAAAGTAACGTTAATCCTCTGCTTCTTCAGCGACTCAGATGTCTGGAGTAAATGACGACTGCTATATTCATTATTACATCCAACAACAAAACACCTCAATCGCTTAATCTGAGACATTCTTGTCTTCCCCCGCACCAGAGTCGACACAATGGTGGACTGATGACAGCTCAGTCAGGGCGGGTCTAAGGTAAGACGGCCTTGTCAATCAACTATCGTGCGAGGGGCCTGTGCAGAACTACGTCATTCTGACAGGAATCTCAGAACAGCCTGATTTGAGAAAG